TAAAAATATTTTTAGAATTTTTAAAAAGTGGGGGAGAAAAGAAAACTAAAATACAAGAAATTCCTAATAGATTCTAGGTGCTATGTTAGCAGTTTTTATATATTTTATCTCATTTAACAATCTTTTTTTTTTTTTAAGTAGGCTCCAGGCCCAGTACCCAACATGGGGCTTGAACTCACAACCCTGAGATCCAGATCTGAGCTGAGATCAAGAGTCGGACGTTTAACCGACTGAGCCACCCAGGCACCCCTCATTTAACAATCATATATAGTAATTATCATCATTTTAAAAATGAGAAATACTGAATCTGAGAGCAAGTAACATGTACAAGGTAACAACTAGTTAGTGGCAGAATTGGTAGATCTGTCTGACTCCAAAGTCCACATAAATTCTTTCATTTTTTTTTTTTTTTTGCCAAGAGAACATGCAAAAAACCAAGAAGTTCAAAATATAATTACTGTCTATAAAATTTAAAGTCTAATTGCCCTTTTTGTCCTTCAATTTTTAAGCACTTATTTTCTTTTCACATTAGATACTTAATTTTATCATAAGTATAATCTAAGTATATATAAATATTTGATTTTTAAAGTTTTCCAGGTTCTTTTACAAAGTACTAAATATTTACAACGTACTCACTCGTTGTCTGCCTTATGATTTACAGATTGCAATTTTTTCCCCCCAGAATCTTTCTAAAACCACAACTTATTTTATTGTGAAACCTCATGAAATAACTCCTTTGATATTGCTGATAAGTCTCCAAAAGATGAAAATGGTCACCAGACTACTGGCAGCTGAGAAAGAACTTCAGCAAACTGAGACCATTAAGAAACTGTGCAGGGGAAAATCTTGTTAACAGGACACCAGTTCCTATTTAATCTAGAATGCCATCCATTGCAGCTATCCATTTCTTGTTGGCTGTGTGGCCCCTGTTTAAGATACCATTTGTAATAAAATTCTAGAGATCTCTAATTTGAATCACACTGCCATCGGTTATGGAAAATGAAACTTCCTAGACTGAAAAGATACCTCCCAACTGTAATAGCTGTCCAGTTTCCCTGGAATCTGTCTCATTCCCACTGATGAATTCCAAAAACTTCTGAAAGAGGACCCCAACTACGATATTGATAATGGAAGCCCCGCTATAGTAATAGGGTCTTAGACTGTTCTTTCCTCTTGATTGTAGCAGGAGCCAACAGGGCTGGCCTAATCAGACAGAACTGACCCCTCTTTTTTGCTATTTTTTTTTTAAGTTTTTATTTATTTAAGTAATTTCTGCACCCATCATGGGGCTCGGACTCACAGCCCTGAGATCAAGAGTTGCATGCTCCTCTGACTGAGCCAGCTAGATGCCTCCCCTTCCCCCCACCTTTTTTTAAGATTTATTTATTTGAGGGGCATCTGAGTGGCTCAGTTGGTTAAGTGTCTCCTTTGGCTCAGGTCATGATCCTGGAGTCCTGGGATGGAGCCCTGTGTCAGGCTCCCTGCTCAGCGGGGAGTGTGCTTGGCCTTCCCCTCTGCTTGTGCTCTCTCTCTTAAATAAGTAAATAAAATCCTTTAAAAAAAAAAAAAAGAGATGTATTTATTTGAGAGAGAGAATCTCAAGCAGACTCCCCAATGAGCGCAGAGCCCAGCACGGGGCTCGGATCTCACAACCTTGGATCATGACCTGAGCCAAAATCAAGAGTCAGATGCTCCACAGACTAAGCCACCCAGGCGCCCTGCCTCTTTTTTTAAAATCAAACTACTGCCTTTATATAAGTCTCCTCTTTTACAAATCTTATGACCGTTATTTATCTCTTTTCTGCTTATTAGGATCCTGTACCCCAAGTCAGGCCTTGGCCATTACAACAATACTTCTTCCTGAGACCCTCGTGCTGTGCCATGTGCAGTTCAGTAATACTTTGCTAGACATCCCAGCAAGCAAAATCTTCCATGTCCATGCAGGTTTCAGCATGGAGAAAGGTGGGTCCCACCAGCTGGGTCTGGTGCCCGTTTCCATCTCTGTAGTTGTCACTTGCTTATTAGATTGCATTTACACTTTCCAGCTTCATCTGCTCTATAACTATGGAAACTTTCTCAACCAGCATTTTTGTTTAATCTCTGTAATACCCTGTGCTTTTCTTTTATAGTCTTCCATTTTCTTTTTTGCTGGTCCCTGTTATCTCTGGGCTTGGATCATTTTTTTAACCCCAGGAAGTAGCAGTGTTTTGAGTGTTTATTGTTGAACTGAAGGATATTCCAAGCAGAGTAGCATTAACTAGCATAAAGTAGAAATAGGCATGACATTGGAATTTCATATGAATCACCTAATCTAAAAATGAGAGGATTCATGTCAAACGTAAGGCATAAATAGGATAGTGCTACTGCCCAAGACCTTCTGCTCCAAGGCTAGGCAGGATGGTGTGAATAATGAGCAGCCACTGAAGGAAGGCTCACTCAGCAAACTGGTGGGCACTAAACAGAATGCCTGGTGCCAGGACACGCGCTAGGTGTACACAGGGGAGCAAGACAGGGCTCTTCATTTTCACCAGTGCTGCGCAGGGTGATCCGTCACAGAATAGAGATGCATGGGATGCTGTAGAGGCAGAAAGAGAAGAGGAGCATCTACCTCAAACCTAGGGGTTAGAGTGTGGTTTTACACAGCAAGGCCTGTGGAAGGGTGACTAAGAGTGAGCTAGATGTGAAGAGGCCAGAGGCCAGGACATCCCAGGCAGTTGAGAGCCGGAGCTCGGTAGGACAGAATGGAGAGGGAAGAGTAGGAAGCAAGAAGGCCAGTGAAGGGGCCACTGCAATAATCCAAGCATGAACTGATGAGGGTCTAGCCCAAAGTAACAGGGAGATACTAACAGGTGTCAGACATTTCAAAAGATGAGTTAGCAAAATTTGGAGGATGGTTGGATTTAGGAATGAAGGAAAGGGTGTCTATGAAAAGACAGCTGAGTGTGAGCCTGGGTAACTAGAACAACAATACTCCCATCGAGATACGGTTTGACAGAGAAGTGACTAAGCCATGCTCAAAGCATCTTTCACAAACCCTTTCCTAATCTTGGCAACTCTTGGTTACTTCATTCTATATCCCCTTAATTTCCGTTTGTACTGTGTTATTTACTACTCCCTGACATGTTGATTTAAGCAACAAGTTCAACTGTGGGTTGCCTGGGACTGTTTTTCTTCGGTGTCCTTCCCCCACAATGGCCAACAGTCTGCTAATAGTGAACACTCAGAAAGTTGAGTTCACATTTTCTTCTGAACTTGCTTCCATTTTTCCTTCCTATTTTAAGCCAGTTGGCTCAATAGAGCCTCCGAACCCTCCCCGCTCAGTTTTTCATCTTTTCTTCAGGGGTTTATGTCTGCCTAATCAAGGTTCGACCCCAGTCAGAAGAGCTGCTCCAGGCCCTCAGCGTGGCTGACACCTCAGTCTATGGGTGGGCCACACTGGTCAGTGAACGGAACAAGAATGGAATGCAAAGAATCCTCATTCCTTTCATCCCAGCCTTTTACATCAACCAGTCAGAATTGATTCTTAGCCACAGACAAGATATCGGGGAGATAAGAGTGCTGGGGGTGGACAGAGTTCTTGAGAAGCTAGAGGTATGTGAAGCACTGAACCAAAACATAACTGAGATCAAGGTTTTGAAAAAGGAGTCTTCATTCCTAGTCCAAGGGCAAAGGAACAGTTATGGAATGACTTTGATAAAATTCACCACAAGGGGGGAGGGCTCTTAGAATGAAGAAAACCTGTCCTCTTCACAATGCCCGGGTACTCCCAGAGTCCAAAATTTAGGTCATGAGCTTTGTCAGTCTGAAAGATATTAGTATCATCCTAAATGATCTTTAGAATTCTAGTTTAGAACTTTTTTTTTTTTTTTAAGATTTATTTGAGAAAGGGAGCATGAGCGGAGAGAGGGACAGTGGGAGAGGGAGAAGCAGGCTCCCCGCTGATGTGAGGTGCAATCCCAGGAGCCTGGGATCATGAGCTGAGCCAAAGGCAGACACTTAACTGAGCCACCCAGGCACCCAAAACTTTAAGATTTGTTTGAGAAAGAGGGAGTGTATGTGAGAGGGGGGACAGAGGGAGAGAATATCCAAGCAGACCCCTGCTAAGTGTGGAGCCCAACACAGGGCTGGATCCCTCCAGCTGTGAGATCAGGACCTGAGCTGAATTCAAGAGTCGGATGTTGAACCGACAGAGCCACACAGGCAACCCTAGTTTAGAACGTTTTTGAAGCCAATTTTATTCTCACAGATCTTTTTTTTTAAGATTTTATTTGAGAGAGAGAAGGAGAGTGCACACAAGCCAGGGGAAGGGGCAGAGGGAGAGGGAGAAGCAGGGAGCCCGATGTGGAGCTCAATCCCAGGACCCCGGGATCATGACCTGAGCTGAAGGCTGACGCTTAACCAACTGAGCCACCCAGGCGCCTTTCACAAATCATTTTCTTCCCTTATCTACTTCAACATATCTGTGTGGAAAAGCAGATGACTTATCTTCAGATTGCTAACTAGAAATCTTACTGTACGTTTAAGATTGGAATGCAGTATTGATGCAAACAAGTGTCATTTTCTTTTCTCCAAGGTCTTCCCTAGCTCCCCAGTTCTAGTGGTCTCTGGCCACAGGCAGTCTTCCCTCACGCCTGGCCTGGCTGTCTATCCCGTGAGAGCAGTCAACTTCACCTCCCTTCAGCAGATGGCATCACCCATTTTCATCAATATTTCCTGTGAGCTCACCAGTCAAAGTGAGGCTGTGCTAGTGAGAGCTCTGAAGGATAAGTCTGGTGCAGGTGAGCACTGGGGGCTCCTGGTGTGTTTTGTTTTCAAGATTTTATTTGAGAGAGGGAGAGAGAGCAAGCTGGGTGAGGGGCAGAGGGAGAAGCACGCTCTCCACTGAGCAGGGAGCCAGATGCCCGAACTCTGGGGTCATGACCTGAGCCAAAGGCAGAGGCTTGACTGAGCCACCCAGGCACCCTGGGGCTCCTGTTTTTAATCTAGAGTAGGAAAGACCACAGAATGTATTGCTTAGTTAATGAAAAACATTCAGCCACTTGACCGAGATTACTCAAACTAGCTGGGGCATTGATCTTTATTTTCCAAGCCTACCTATAACATCACCTTCAGGAAGCTCTCTTCTCACCATCAAGATATTCTACTTAACTTATATATTTAAGAGTAGTTATCAACTTAAGAACTTCTCAGCCTTGTTAAGTGTACTATTTTCCTGTTTTAAACCTTTTGATAAATGTTTTTCTTCAAAAATCTCTGGCAGATCTTTTTGCATCAGGCAATGGGCAAATGGTGATAGTCCTAGAACTAAGACTGCTTTCCAAAAATCCGGATTCTAGCCATTGCTCAGTTTAGAAACTATGCCCGGTCTGGGTGGGATGGGAACATGTGTAGTCATGGAAAAGTGTTAGGAAAGCCAAAGAATCATCCTCCTTATACTGCCACAGCTACCTGCCCATCCCTCCAGAGAAAGTGTTCTTTGAATTAACTAGGAGTGAAGTGGACTGAACCCCCATTCATCTCCAATGGAAGGAAGGTCTGTTTCTACAAGTACCTGATACATACTGGCCGATACCCTAAGTGCATTTTATGTGCATCTGTTGTCTCGTAACTCTAAAGTAGATGTTTTTCCCTTTAAGAATTGAACAAATTGAGATGCTCAAAGTCCCAGGACTAGAAACAGTGTTCAACTCTGTGTTCTTTCTGTTGGGAGTTTTAAAATCTAGAGTTTTTTAATGGGTTTCTGCAAGGGTCCATGGATGGAATTCCAGGTGCCCATGACCTTCAATGAGGGGGAAAAACTGCATCTTTATTTTCAACTAATCTCTCAATAAAGTTTCCATTTCCACTGATTTTACGAATATAGGCAAGAAACCACAGCAATAGCAATATGTGTGATTCTGTCACCAACAGAATTCAGATATTTTCATGTTCCAATTATTAGATCTCAAAATTCACTTCAAAGTTACATAAAAATTACAGTAGTTACCAGACCTGAGCCTAGATCTCTGTTACTAAAGCACTCAAAAAAGGTCTTTTTAACATCTTACTAAGTGTATTGTATATACATAGCTATATCACAATGTTTTTTACATTTGGTTAACTTTGATATAACTGGGTTTCCTTTTATTCCTACACATTTTATTTTTTGAGATAGGATCCATGGGTTTCACCATACTGCCCAAGTTGCTCATGGCACAATAAATGGTTAAGAACCCCCGCACTTCTCAGAGCTAAGAGGGACCAGTGGGAACAGTACAACCATGGTGGGTAGGAGTGGTCAGACAAAAAAAACCCAACCCAGTCTTCAGCTAGCTTATTCACACAAGCACGTTGAGTGCCCACTGGTATATGCCAGGCATGGTACCTAGTACAGAAATCAGATTTAAGACAGGGCCTAATTAAGGAGCTAGTAAATAGTTCATTGTAGCCAAAACAAAGGGGTATTGGAAAGGCTGATCATGTTCTGTAAGTTTTATTTGGACTCTTACCGTATAAACATTGGAAAGCCAAAAGCTTTCAACAGTTGAACCTGATCAAGGATTAGTATAGAGAATCTTGTTTTTAGTGCACTTTATTTCAAACAACCTCAAAAGTGTTCTTCAGAGCAAAGCAGTTTGTAAACAGTTCTGAAACAAAGTACCATGAGAAGTAAGACCAGTTACAAGTCCAAAAGTTAGAGGACCTATACTAGGGATGCAGAATAGGAACTCGGTAGGAGGGCCTGGTGACAATATGAGATATATGGGAAGACCTGGAAGTTCAGGGGAGTCTGCTGGGACAGGTGTTCATTTCTAGACACTGAAAAATTTGAAATAACCAAAGTAAAATGTCAAGTGTGCTTCAAAAACACAAGTCTCAAGTTTTATTGAGGACAGTGTTATACAAAAATCCGAATGCTCGCTAGAAAGGACATCCTAAGTAAAGAATGACAAGGGGACCCCTGGATTTAAAAAGTGGTTGGTGATCCAAATAAAGATTTCAGGTTAGAGGGATTAGAACTGGAAGTTCAGTTGCCACAATCACAACTTCGGTGAAGAGAAGCAAGTCACTTGGAATTAAAAATACACAGGAAAGGTTAACCGGCATCTTTAGGTAGTAGAGTACTCACATATCCATTTGTAAGTTGAGAAGAAATACAAGATTCAAAGTTTGGGAGTTTATTACCTGGGAGATAGGAACAAGCGAAAAAGAGGTGGAGGAACCAAGTACATAATTCACCTCTGTTAAGAAGCAAAACAATTTCCCAGAGGTCTGGGTTTTGAGAGCTTCTGCTGGATACCCATGACCATGTGTTTTTAAACACAGCCACCTGCCGTGAATGCTTTAAGTAACTATCACCTTTTTTTGTTCTGACCAATGCACAGATCAATGTGAAGATTCAGGTATCCTCCAGAAGTTCCTGGGTTCTCACCAGGCCATCCTCTTTACCCTCTTTACAGTGCTGGCATCAACAGCTTTCATCTTTCTAGGTAAGGAGCCCTTACATTCAGCAACATGGACTTTTGACTTAGAAACTGCCTTCATTTAATTTCACCAATTAGGGCGCCTGGGTGGCTCAGTTGGTTAAGCAACTGCCTTTGGCTCAGATCATGATCCCAGCATCCTGGGATCGAGCCCCACATCGGGCTCCTTGCTTAGCGGAGCCTGCTTCTCCCTCTACCCCTGTCTGCCTGCCACTCCCCCTGCTTGTGCTCTCTGTGTCAAATAAATAAAAAATCTTTAATTTCACCAACTATGAGGATGAAAATTAGTTGTTCATCACATCTCACTTGTGACAAGCAGTTGGAACTCATTCAGCCTCCCTAGTCATCTAGTGGACGAAAGGTCCTGCTCAACTTACCACCAAGAAGCAGTAAAGTGCATAGGACAGAACCCTACTTGGAAGTGGAAACCACTGCTAAGCCTTGAGATAATGGTGACATCTGCCTTGTTCTTCTTCCAGCGTATAATGCCTTCTTAAACAAGATACAGACAGTTCCAGTTGTTTATGTGCCAACTCTAGGAACACCACAACCAGGTAAAGAATAACCACCCTCACCTCTGAAAAGCTTAAATATCCACGTTTTATTCACACTTCATGTTTCTTTTTTACTCCTAGGTTCTTATACCTCCACCACACGTTCTCCCCCACCTTTCATGAGTCCACAACCCCCAGCAGGCCAGAGACGGCTACAACACTGGCTATGGAGTGTAAGGCACTAACCTCCACTTGGACAAATCCCCTCAACTGTAGAGGACTGGAGCCATAAGCCCCCAAACTAGATAGGCTTCTGAAAACTGTAAATAAAAGATCCTAAGCTGTTCTGCGCTAAGGTGGTATGTTAAAGGTGAACTGTCAATTCTTAACGCTATGAAAACATAAAAGTGAAAGAAAATGTCCATTTACATAGTATCCCGTGTTTTTATCAAGTTCCAAAGATTTACTCAGTGAGCCTAGCTGGACAGAAATGTCCCAAATAGACTTAAGTACTTGGCCACTTACTTGCCCCAAGTGACTCTAGCAGTCCACTCTTCTGGTTGCCCCTGAGTACTTGAGGTAGGAACTTCCTAGCAGTAAAACAAAGACAATAAACAGGATGTATCCAAAATCTGTTTATTGGGATAGTGTCCCACTCATCTTGATTCAGGGTGCTTTTAGTGCTGCTTCCGCCTGAAGGAGCATCCTGGAAGAAGAAGGTTCCGAGGTTACTTAGCCTGCCCCACCCCCACAAAACATCACACCCACAAGAAAGCTACATCTTCACTTTCCTGCTAAGCCTGGAGCTACCACTTCAGTCGTTTAAGAAACTTACCACTACCTCAAACGAAGACCCTTTTATGACTCCTCCGCCTCAGCTTTAAACCTCAGTGTTTTGACACTAAGAAATGCGTGGCTTCTCGTCATACTTTTTTGGGGCAGGAAGGCGTGTGGACGAACGACTTCCAACTCCCAACCACCTTTATGAGGCAGTACAAAATTCAGAGCTCAAAATGACACCGTTCGTCCATCAGCTCACCTTCTGTAAGCCTTGCTTTCCCTCCTGTGGGCTGGCAGAGGACAGTGGAGCAGCCGACACACAGAACTACCGTTTGTGCGTGGCTAAAGACGGTGGTGATTTTGTAGCATCC